AGCTCTCTGTTTACTGGCTGGTCTGGGTTCCTACCCTCACCTATGGTCATGAGCTCTGGGTAGTGACCGAAAGAATGAGATAGAGGATACAGGTGGTTGAAATGAGTTTTCTCCACAGGGCATCTGGACTCTCCCTTAGAGATAGGGTGAGAAGTTCAGTTATCCGGGAGAGACTCGGAGTAAAACTGCTACTCCTTCATGTCAAGAGGAGCCAGTTGAGGTGGTTCGGGCGTCTGGTAAGGATGTCCCCATGGCGCCTCCCTAGGGAGGTGCGGGCATGTCGAACTGGGAGAAGACCCCGGGAAAGACCCAGGACACGCTGGAGAGACTATGTCTCTCTGTTGGCCTGGGAACGCCTTGGAATCCTCCCAGAAGAGCTGGAAAAGGTGGCTGTGGAAAGAGATGTCTGGGCCTCCCTGCTCAAGCTGCTGCCCCCGCGACCCGTCTTCTGAATAAGCGGAAGATAATGGATGGATGGATGGATGGATAATCTTATAATTGGTAGTGACACAAATTGTGTGCTTTCATCCCTTATCTGTAGCTCAATGGGGAAAACTTCTCTCACTAAGTCTGTTCAACTAGTCAATTCATTCCTTGAATCATATGGAGTGGCTGATGTGTGACACTTCCGTAACCCTACTTCAAGATCATACTCATTCTTTTCTCCAGTCTATAAGACATACTCTGAATTGATTTTTTTTTTTTCTTGATAAACATATTTTGCCTTTGGTTGAAGAATGTGATTATGGAGATATGGTAATCTCAGACCCTGGCCTACTTATTATGAACTTGTGCATCCCGGTCACAAAATCAGTACATTGTCCTTGGAGGCTCATCCCCTTACTATTGTCCGAGGAAGTCTAAACTAAGTTCGATACATCTGAGATTGAATTTTTCCTCGAAACTAACTGAACACCAGGAATGCCACTCTATATGGTCTGGGAGACATTAAAGGCCTACCTGATGGATCAAATAATTTCTTACTGTGCAAGCAAAAAAAAGAAGAGGCTGGCGCAGATAAACCATATAACAAATGAGATACTGCAATTAGACAGAGAATATAGCCACTCCCCCTCACCGGACCTAATGAAAAAAACGTTTATTACTCCTAACTGAGTTTAATACTTTGTCCACTCAGCAGGCAGAGGATTTAATTTCTAAATCTAGGCAGGGTTACTACGAACACGGTGAAAAAGCTGGGCGCCTGCTTGCACATCAGTTGAGGTGACAGTCAGCCAACCAAATTATTACAGCAATAAATAATGAACAGGGAGCTGCATGCCACAACAATACTGAAACTAATACGTTTTAGTATATTTTATCAGTCTGGACCAGATGGCTTCACATCTGAGTTTTTAAAGAAATGTTTAAGTTTATTCTCACCCTTATTAAGGTCTGTGTTTGAGGAATCATTGGCTGCACAGACATTGCCACTGACCATGCGCCAATCTGTAATCTCACTGATACCTAAGAAAGACAAAAACCCTTTAAACTGCGGCTCATACAGACCCATTTTGATTTTAAATACTGATGCTAATATTCTTGCACAAGTCATGGCAAAATGACTGGAGCGGGTGGTCCCCACTATTGTCGAGCCTGATCAGACAGGCTTTCTTCAATGTTAGGCAGCTGCTTGATATACTGTACACTCCTAACCCACCTGAACACACACATTATTTATTTGGATGCAGAAAAAGCATTTGACCAGGTGGAGTGGAATTACCTCTTTGAGATTTTCAAGTTATCTAAATTTATTCCCAAATTTGTATCATGGGTGAAGCTGATTTATATCTCCGCAATGGTGGCGGTCTCCACCAATTGTAACATAGAAGCTAGATGGCTATCCTTGCCTCACACGCTAAGGGGCAGAATAAACTGTAAAATTGAGCATCCTATCTAAATCCCTATACTTGTTTCAGAATCTGCCAATCTTTCTCACTAAATCCTTTTTACCAATCTGAACAATCAGATATCAGCATTTATTTGGAATAAAAAGCATCTACGGATTGCCAAGAGGGTCTTGTATCTGCCCCACAAAATTGGAGGCATGTAGCTTCCTAACTTCATGCACTATTATTGGGCAGCTAATATCAGAGCTCTTCTATTTTGATTGGATAAAGACACCCCTTCTCCTAGTTGGGTGGCCTTGGAAAGGGCCTCAATTAAATCCAGTTCCCCCTCTGCATTACTCTGCTCTCTGCTGCCCTTTAAACAATCAGTATCAACTTATACCTCTAACCCAGTTGTGATATAGGGCAGTTAAGATTTGGAACCAGTTCAGGAGGGCATTTGACTCTACAGAGTTACTGTTTTTGGCACCTGTGTCAAATAATCACATGTTTACTCCCTCAGTAGCTGATACAGCTTTTGACACCTGGGTCTTGGGAGGGGTGTATTCACTGTGTGATCTCTATGTTGATCACATTTTTTTGGATATTTACAGCCGAGACATTTTGTGGGATTTAATTCTGATTGTTTTCCTTTGTACACCTCTAAACATTTTGTGGTTAAGATTTTGGAATGCAGGTCTGATACCAAGGGGGGCCCTTAGGAAAATATATACACTGCTTAGTTCATACCATGAATACAGTTTGGACTCCCTTAAACTAAAATGGGAAGCGGACTTGGAGGAACCCATATTAGACTCAATCTGAAGAAAGATCATTAAGAACATTTACTTATCTTCAATCTGTCTGAGACATGCAGTAATTCAATTCAAGGTAGTGCACCGGCTGCACTGGTCCAAAGAAAAACTGTCTAAAATCAAGACCGACATGGACCCAGTATGCAATAGTTGCAAATAAACTCAAGCTACATTCTGGACCTGTCCTAAACTGCAGACTTTTTGGCAATCTATATTTGATAAATGGACTGTACTTATATAGCCCCTTTTTATCTTATTGAGATACTCAAAGCACTTTACACTACAGTCTGTGCCCTCATTTACCAATTCATACAGCACTCTACTGTATCTATAATCAGTGCTTTATCACAGTCATACACCAATGGTACACACAACGGAGGCAATGAGGGGTTCAGTGTCTTGCCCAGGGACATTTCTGCATGTGACTGTTGGTGGAATTGAACCCTCAACTTTTGCACTGGAAGACGACTGCTCTAACCACTCAGTCACACGTCCTATTTGACACTTTCTCTGGAATATGTGGTAAAACTGTACACCCATCACCAATCATGGCACTGTTTGGGGTGGTCCCTGGGGATGTGAGAGGGATGTGATTGCCTTCAGCTGTCTTTTGGCCAGGAAACTAATTTTGTGCAACTGGAAGGACTCACACCCGTCGGTGTACGTACAATGGGTAAGAGAGGTGATGTACCATATCCATCCACCCATCCATTTTCTTCCACTTATCTGGGGTCGGGTCGCGGGGGTAGCAGCCTAAGTAGGGAGGCCCAGACGTCCCTCTCCCCAGCCACTTGGGACAGCTCCTCCAAGGGAATCCCAAGGTCAGCTGAGAAACATAGTTCCTCCAGCGTGTCCTGGTTCTTCCTCTGGGTCTCCTCCCGGTGCGACGTGCCCGGAACACCTCACCAGGGAGGCATCCAGGAGGCATCCTAAACAGATGCCCGAGCCACCTCAACTGGCTCCTCTTGATGTGGAGAAGCAGCGGCTCTACTCTGAGTCCCTCCCAGATGACCGAGCTTCTCACCCTATCTCTAAGGGAGAGCCCAGACACCCTGCAGAGAAAACTCATTTCGGCCGCCTGTATCCGTGATCTCGTTCTTTCGGTCAAAACCCAAAGCTCATGACCATAGATGAGGGTAGGAACGTAGATCGACCGGTAAATTGAGAGCTTCGCCTTTTGACTCAGCTCTCTCTTCACCACAACAGACCGGTACAGCGCCCGCTTCACTGCCGACACTGCACCTAGCCACCTATTGATATCACGCTCCATTTTCCGCTCATTTGTGAACAAGATCCCAAGATACTTGAACTCTCCACTTGGGACAGGACCTCCTCCTCGACCCGGAGAGGGCACTCTACCCTTTTCCGGCTCAAGACCATGACCTCGGATTTGGAAGAACTGATCTTCATCCCGGCTGTGCCACACTCTGCTGCAAACCACTCCAACAAAGTTGTAGATCATGACCTGATGAAGCCAATAGGACCACATCATCTGCAAAGAACAGAGAAGTGATCCTAAGGCCACCAAAACAGATCCCCTCATCACCTTGGTTGCGCTTAGAAATTCTGTCCATAAAATATATGAACAGAATCGGTGACAAAGGGCAACCTTGGCGGAATCCAACTCTCACTGGGAACGAGCCTGACTTAGTGCCGGCAATGCGGACCAGGCTCTGACACCAGTCGTACAGGGACCTAACAGCCCATATCCAAGGGCCTGGTACCCCATACTCCTGGAGTACCCCCCAAGGGTTCCCCGAGGGACGAAGTCGAACGCCTTCTCCAAGTCCACAAAGCACATCTAGACTGGTTGGGCAAACTCTCACGCACCCTCCAGGACCCTGCTGAGAGTGTAGAGCTGGTCCAGTGTTCCACGGCCAGGACGAAAACCGCACTGTTCCTCCTGAATCCGAGGTTCGACTATCCGACGGACCCACCTCTCCAGAAGTCTCTCCAGAGGCTTAAGAGCGTGATCCCCCTGTAGTTGTTTTATGTTTTTTTATGTTTCCTGTTTTGTGTGTGTTTAAAATTGAAAAAAATAATAAAATCCTTTGTTTTGTTAAGTTTGAGTTTGTGTACTCAAGTTGTATTATGTGTTGGATGTATTATTGATTTATTTAGAGACGTAATGTTTTGTTTTCACCTCAGTGTGACGGCATAGAGCTGCTCAATAACAAGCCACGTCACCACACACACCTGTACCACATGATATAAATTGCCTCAGTGAATGTTTGTATCACTAGACATTTCACTCCACTTCTGCTGATCTCCGCTCTGCACGGAGATCAGCTGATCTCAGATTCAGTCTTGGTAATTCCTGCAACTACAGTGTAGTTTGTTTGTTGAATATTCATACTTGAGGTCAAGTTGAGCTTGTTCTGAACTGCCTCCAGATCGTTCAGGGCTTCAACGTGTTTGGTGTTGGCTTCATCCAGTCGTCTCTGAGCATCTTCCAGCTGGTGCCTCAGAGCTGTGCAGGAAAAAAACTATTGTCAACTCTTCAGCCTCTTTAAACAGTCAGAAAACAGTAAAAATTTTACACATTCTAATTTAACTTGTGAACTTTTTATTATAAACCCAGCTCTCCTGAGGTGTGCTTACTGTTGTTCAAGTTGTTGCTCAGTTGTTTCACTTCATCATTCAGTTCTATGCTGCGGATCTTCAGTTTATCAGCCATCTGACCAAGATCCTGCTTCTTTATGTTCTGAAATACATGATTTAAACCCCAACATAAACAAAACTCATAATTCCAGTTATTGCAAATAAAGAAAAAAAAAGAAGAAATGCACATTTCTGCTGCCTTTCCTGCCGGTGTTTTTAACTAACATAACTTCATGATGATTTATGTTGGCGTTGTAGCTGTTTGGGTTAAATTTTGGAGAAAATGTTTTGCTCAATCTCTTGCGAGAGCTTGGGCAATCCTACATTATTTATTAGAACTGAGAGCATATGTTTTGAATGGATTTTAGCTACAACCACACAAAATCTTAGCTCCATATGAGTAAAACTGACAGAGTTATGGCGATTTTTGTGCTTGTATGATTGTTGTGCTTTTGTCGGTCATCTTGTGTATTGACTACAAAAGTAAATTGAATGTTTATGTCCATCCAGGTATAAGTTTTAGAAAATTCAGTAAAATATGTAAATGGAAAATGGACTGTACTTATATAGCACCTTTCTATCTTATTTCAAGATACTCAAAATACTTTACAAAAATATGTGTCCTCATTTACCCATTCATACAGCTCTATACTAGATCTCTACAAAGCTAATTGAACAAATCATTCTAAAGAGACTAATCAGAGCTTTATCACATTCATACACTGATGGACACACATCAGAGGCTGTGAGGGGTTCAGTGTCTTGCCCAGGGACACTTCAGCATGCGACTGCTGGTGGCTTCGAACCCCTAACTCTCGCACTGGAGGACGACTGCTCTAACCACTGAGCCACAGCCGCCCAGTGGCAGTAGAGTCATACTATCATGATCTAGCACAGGGCTATTCAACGAAACTGCTCAGTGAGCCACAGGTACTGAGAGCCAGCAGCTAAGGGGTCGGACATCCAGCAATTAGTTGTTTTCACACCTGATAGTCCGGTAGACTCGGTTTGGTTGGGGACCAATATTCATGACATATTGTTACATTTGAGCTGGTGCGTTTGCATTCACACTGCACTGTGCAGTCGAGCCAACCTGTTTGAACACACCTGTTCCCCCACTCGCCTGTGGTGGCGCTGCACCAAGAACTACATGAAGCAATGACACAAAAACCTCTGAAGACACTTCTTCTTCTTCTTCTTCTTCAGGACATAAAATAAAACGGAGTGGCATCAAATTTTAGCGGTTTTAGGAGTTATATTTTGTTATTTTTCAAAAATGGACTCAGCATGAGCAGAAGATGAGACAGAAGACCATGGAGAACATTGTTTTTCACACAAGGCAGCTGACGGCTCCATATAAGAGAAATGTGTGTTTGTTTGCCCTGTGTTGTAGTCCTCTTCCTGCTTGCGGAGCAGTGTCAGGTCTGTTTACATTCACACTGTACTTGAACCGCCCTCGAGTTTTCTTCTACCGGACTGAGACCTAGGTTTTAGCCCGGGCCAGAGTTTACCTTTTTGTTCCGTGACGGAGTTCGATGGCGCGTTCAAACCTCCCCAAACAAACCGGATTTCCTAAGCAAATGGGCTAGAGTTCGGGACAACAAGGCTGGTGTGAATGCACACTAAAGTCATTACGTAAATAAACCAAGTATTTCAATGATCTGTTACCTTTAAAATTTGTTTATTTTGTTTCAGTGAATCATAAATGCAATAAACAGAACCCAAATATGTAATTCAATTACTGGTACATTACATTAAAAATATTATTTATTTGCAAGAAAAGTATTGACATTCTTATGTGAAACTATAAAAAAAAAGACACATTATGCCTCAAATTTTAACACAAATATTATTCTGACATCGCTGACTTGCCAAATCTTTATATTATTGTACTTTTATTCATCTAGTTGTGATGCTAAAGGAGAGAACTGCAGTGGTGGTCTGCCTTTTTTCATTCAACCTTTATTTAGACAGATAAGTCACATTGACCCTAGAAGACTCATTTACAAGTGAGACCTGTTCAGACAGACAAAAAGTAGTGAAACTGGACACATGTAGGAATTGGAGGCGAAACAATTCCCATTAAACTTTTTCTTCTTGCTTGAGAAGAAAAACTGATATTTAAAAACACCTTGTACAAACAAGCACATAGTGACATAGACATTCTGCAGAGGGGGGAGACGACGAGAGCAGTGAGCATGACCATAGACGCTCTCGAGAGCACTGTAAGAGTTCAGATAAAGATGTAATAATCTGTCAATGTCCTCCAGTGAGATCCATAAACATTCTCGAGGGATGTCGAGGAATGGCCAAGGATAACATCTATGAGAATCCAGAGTCCTGAAATGATGACATAAAGTTTATTCAGTGGGGTTCCATCTGGTTATCAGTTGGAAATTCCTCAGGGAGGGGGTGGTGAGCGTCAGATCCCATGTTCTCCAGGCGACTTTAGATAAGATGTTCTTCAAGGACACCAAGGCGACCAAAATTTAGATAAACACACAATTGTTTTGGGGACAGGCAGAACTTAATGACATCAACCTTCAGTCTGTGTTGGTCCACTCGGTTCTGAAATGTCCAAATTAACATGGCCACACTGATGGAACATGTCTGAGTAAAATCCCCAAGATCTGATCCATTCTGCCCAAAGCATTTGAGTCCGGGTACTCGAGACATGAAACCAAACCATCATAAAGGCAAGCAGCGTGATCGGGTCCAAATTTGCTGCTGACGACTTCCTTGATTGTTGATAAAAACCAGCACCAGCTGAATCCAAAAAGCAGGAACCAGTTATCGTGAATCCAATTAAATATGCGTCCTTAGAATCCACAGATGGCAGCAGAGATAGACACATCATCGAAGAAATGCTGTAAATTGAGTTGAGGGACCAACTGGTCAAAACAAGTCCATATTTATGGTTCGGAAGATGCAAGAGAGGCTCAGAAGCACTTTCACAGACAGACAGAGCAGCAAAGAGGAGAGGGAGGGGGGGAAGCATCCGATCTCGGCTTGAGCAAGTGGTGAAGTGGTGAGTATGAACCATTGACTTACCCAGAATGAATGATAATTGATAATTATATATTGATAATGAAAATTATAGAAATCTAGATAGATGGACTGATGGGAGTTTTTGTGATATTGTGGGAGAAAGATGTTTGTTCTTTTTTCCTGATAAAGCAGCTTCAAACGAGTCACTGACAGAGAGGTTGCGAGTCCAATGACAGGGGTTTGAAGGATGGAGGCCGGACAGATGTTCGAGGAAATGCCCCTGATGAGGGGGAGTGGAGTGGAGTGCCAGGAAGGATAAAGTCACCGGTTCTACTCCCTGGGCTGAAAACATCACGCATCAAATGAGGGTGTTATCATTTATCATGACTGAGGGTTCTTTAAGGTTCATACTGATCTGGCTGACAGTTTATTGACATCACTTATCATTATTAACATCTAATTAACGTTACCAGCACAGTGAAGGGTTTTCTATTTTCTGATTTTAATTTTAAAAATAGAGGGAGGAGCGTCTTTAAAATATATCTTTAACCAATTAAACACTGAGACACAGTGAACTTACTGATTTTATTAAGCTATGAGTTAATAAATGATTGACAGACTAGAGTTTTTGGATTTTTACATGTACTGAAATGATTATAAAACACGGTTTTAACATTACAGATATTTATAGGTTGTATTTTCAATGCTAATCAATTAATGATGTGATTATTTGTGAAGCTAAGTTGTGGGTAAATTTTTAACAATTAAGTACAGATGTGTACTTTAGACTTGTGGTTGATTTGAATGTTGAACTCAACATTAATTGGGTGACAGGTCTTCTCCAACTACTTTGAGAGATGAGATGATTGATGGACTGACTAATTATGGGATGTGTTTAATATTAACGTTTACAGTTTATTAACAGTATTATGAAGCGTTGTGATGATTTTTTTCTTAAAATTAACATGGTTGAACAAGATACTTTTGCATGGTGCTTATCTAAATATTAACTTTTAATTATTACTTGATGATTTGTTTATTTAATGACTATTTGATGTGTGCAGACATGGGTAAAAAATTAAATTTTAATGTGTCTTTGCAAATTTAAGGGCTGATCATGATGAGATAGCACCACTAGATGGTGCAATTGCGATGATAAACTTAATCTTTGACATTGTTTTCTATGAAATAACAAATTTTTACGGCTGGGCCATTGGAGAGGATTTTGATAAATACATAAAATGGGTTTTTATACTATAGATTTTCCAGGGGGTGAACTTATGACACTTTTCAATCAAGATTGATATTAAATTAAAGGGTGGAATGGGTAAATTGATTTGTTGATTAATTGGGAATATTTTTATTAGATCACCAGGGGGAGTTGGGAGGTTCTGTTATTTACATACGATATGCACGTTAAAACATGTTAAATGTTTAAATTAGATTTTTATTCACACAAACACATTTTCAGCTGTGACAGGCTAAAAATACCGGCAGCGCTCTGTGCAAATAAAATGGGACGGCACGATTGAAAAAGGGAAGGGGGCACAGAGATTGTTCTTTTTTCTTTTTCAGATGGACAGAATGGACCAGGCCTGCCCTTGGAGTCAAAAAGAGAAGTTCAGGGTCTACAGAACTGATTAACATATTAGATAAGAACGCTTTTCTTGCATTAGGACGCCTCCTGCAACTATTAAATCATATTTAGAGAACTGACTTAGACCAATGTTAGAAACTTCCATTATGTTATGGCACCACACCAGGGAGAGGCTGAAGTCCTAGGCAGATGTCCAGATGCTGGGTCAGGCGGCCTGAGGGCTGGCAGGTCACACGTTAGCCGTCAGCTCTGACATCTTATTTGACCTGAGGCTGGCAGGTCACACCCGCTGTAGCCTGTAGGCATCTCCCGCCAACATATAAGGAGTAGTTCACATCCAACCAGAGGAAAGTGATTAATTGCTTGCTTATCCGGAGGTATTGAACTGGGAGTTTTTATGCGGAGGAACCCCTTCGGGGACCCCCGCCCAGGGGGAGTTGTTAAGATATTTCCTATTTAGACTGGTCTTATGTTTTGATCTGCTCAGAGACGGGATTATAATGAAATTATGACCCAGT